GTATGTGGTGGTCCCGGGGGGCGGTTTTCGCACTTTGGCGGTTTGTTGAACTCGGACCACCAACCCGCAGCCCCAGTCACGCGCGCACGCCCCACGGGACCGCGTTCAATTTTTTCGCGCGCGCGTGTGCAGCACGTTTAAACGCGATTGAACGCGGGGCACGGGGGATTGAACGCGCGCGTTTGAACGTGAACGCGCGTTCACGGCGTTCAACCGGTTACATAGCCTCTGAGTCGGGGTCGTCGTGCCTGCTGTCTGTTGATGTCCATGCTGCATGTCGTGATCGCTAAATGGAACAAAGGCTGAAGTCATCTGCTGTTGAAGAGATGGGTATAACATCCAAGGATGCATGCCCATATTCATCGCTGGATCCCTTGCCATCGAGAATAACCCACTAGGATATGCCTGCAACCCTGGAGCAAAAATCGGGTTATTGTGCAGGGAGCTTCCCCCTGGGCCCGAACCTTGAACCGGATTGGGACCAGGCATCTAAGTGCCACCTGTAGGAATCTGTTGTCGTCCTTGTGAAGCTTCTCTCCCGCTCGTCCCAACTCCTTCGCCACCTTGATTGAGACCAACTCCGAAGGATACTGAAGTTCCTCCTCCTTGTACCGCTGCTCCATACGGATTCGCGCCTTGACTGCCCACAGGGCGGAGGATTCCTTGATACTGCGGCCGACTCGTCGCCTCAGACTGGCCTTGGTGTGCTGTGGCACCTTGGTTCTGCTGACGATTGCGTCTACATTCAGCTTCAGTGTGGAAGAAAGCTCTACATCTCCTGCACCTTGGCGTTTCTGCGGAGGCTAACTTGACCTCCAGGGCATCCCCCTCACAAGTATCTACCCATATCTTATCTCTCATATTGGCCCTCGCAGCCGGATCGATCTCAAACTTGATGTTGATAATCGCCGGCTTCAGCCTATCTTGTTCCGCAGGGTGGACTCTGATGACCGGTCCGATTGCTTGAGCCACTTGTGCCTCTAAATAAAAGAAGGCATCCAGTGGAACTACGACCCAAAAGGTCGATTTGTCCTCTTCTTGCCTTTGTGCCCTGAGCTGAGCTTTGGTAAGCCACGGTTTGAATTCGAAGACATACTGGGTTGAGCCGATCGTAATCTCGTCACGCCCTTTGAGGATCATCCAGTTGGCAACTGCCTCACTTTTTGCCACATACGATACTACATTGGGGCTTTCCACTTTGACTCTCCCTCTTCTGAAGTTGGCCGAATCGAGTGAGCCGTCAGCAACCCTCAGTGAGCCGTCAGCAACCCTCTCATCTTCAAACGCTCTCATGATGTCTTCCTTAACTTTCCTAGACAAGAATCTGGCACCCTCACGAAAAATAATAGTAACCGTGTGTTCCTTCAGCCAAGTAATTTTTACTTGATCAATGTGTCTATTCACCTTAAAGCGGACTTCTCTGCCCTCTCCACTCATTTCCCCCGGATCAATACTTGCTGGCATAATTCCATCTTCATAGCAGCGTCTCGCGAGTTCCCGAAGTCTTTCGTTGTCCTCCTCTGTCTCTGCCGGCGCCGCTGGTGGGGAGCGAGCCTCACGATCCATCACCACTTCCGTCATTGTTACGACTAGGTTAAGTACCTACCCGTATTTCTGCATCCAAAACTTCCGGGTATCTTAGAAAGGCTATCTATCGCTCGTCTACTCAAAGAATCTTAATCACTAAAATATCCAATATAGGCCCTATACCAGAAGTCAGAGACAAAGGGAGACAATTGAGTGGACAGAGCTTTGTCAATTTCCAGGTTGCTCTTATCATCCCTATTCACGATTCCAGTACAATATTACCTGACAAAGGAAGGCTCAGACTTATGGTAGTAGCTAGTGATATCATCAGTACAACAGTGGACGTACCCGGAGCTCACAGCAGGAGGTGGCACAGCATCATGGCTATGTCGCGTCGACAAGGCGGCGCTATGCATTTCCATGCCACATCGAGGCGCTATCGTGTTGGTAGTCGATTCGACTAAGCTCGCTGCCGTTTCCGGTCAGCGTACGCTAGGTCCGAGCGCCGTAGCGCCGGAGGTAGCGCACCGGGCCCACTCTGAGCCTCCACTCTCGAAAAAGTCGAGAGTGAGTCATCCCTGCACTAACTGTGGAAAAGTGTTGCCGTCTCTCCCTCCTCCCCCCTGCCCCCAATCAATGCCCTTTCTACCCCTTTCTACCCCCGTATTATCTGCCCTTCTTTCCCCCCTACTATCCGACATTCCTCATATATATATATATCGTCACAAACAGAACTGCCCGGTATATATATACAGTTTGTCACAGCCCCTCGTTTGTTGTCCTCTTCTCTCTCTCTGCCTACGGTTTACCGGGCAGTTCTATTTGACGATATATATATATATATATCGTCACAAACAGAACTGCCCGGTAAAACCGTAGGCAGAGAGAGAGAAGAGGACAACAAACGAGGGGCTGTATATATACGACGATATATATATATATATATATAGGGTTCAGCCTCCTGATGAGTCGGTGAAACTCCGACGAAACAGTTTGTCACAGCCCCTCGTTTGTTGTCCTCTTCTCCCTCTCTGCCTACGGTTTACCGTAGGCAGTTCTATTTGACGATATATATATATATAAAACTAAAAGACAAAGGCAAAGAAAAACCTACAACGCAAAACGACCAACAACGGGCTGCGAAATGGTGACATGGCATGGCTTCCCCCCCAAAAAAAATAAAAAAATGGTGACATGGCATGGCTTCCCAAAAAAAAGAAAAATAAAAAATGGTGACATGGCGAGTCCCGGCATGCACGTGGCTGGGAAGAGCCAAACACAGCAGGAGGCGGCATGCTGAGTAGCTGATGAAAAGATCAGTCGCTTTGCATCACCCTACGAACATCAGGGCCGAGGTCCCACTAGCAAAGAGGATAGGATCGAATGCCTGAATCTGGATGTGTTTTATGCAGCGATGCAGAAAAGCAGTTCAATCTCGATTTCCTGCACATCTCCATAACCTCGTCCAGATTCAGGCATTCGATCCGATCCTCTTTGCTAGTGGGACCACGCCCCAGCAGTGACTGCTCAATGCGGACAGATTGGCGGGACCACCGGTCCCGCTGGCTATCTTTAGTTTGGGGGAGCCAAGGATGCCCAGGAAGGTAAATGACGGCTACAGGTCTTGAACCCCTGACCTACTGAATGCGACTTGTGTGCCTTACCAAGTGAGCTAGGCCGCTGGATAAGGAGACGAGGATCAGCACGGCCACCTGGGCAAGGATGACACGCATAAATTGAGATGAGAAAAGAAAAACGTTGCGAAGTCAAAGAATGCTAACCCCCGAAAAAAAGAGAAAAAGAGAAGAAAAGGAAAAAAATCCAAGAAGGAAAAAAAAAAAGAAAGACAAAAGAAGAAAAGAAAAAAAGGAAAAAGAATTGCACCCTCTTTGGGGGTACTCACAGTAGGATTTCCTTTAGATGAATCTGACCCTAATTGCGGTAGAGAGCAGATGTATCGAACGTGTATTACGTCCCGAGCTGAGTCAGGAACGTCCTACTGTGCGAGTAGGCCTTATCCGACAGACAAGCACAGAAAAGCAACGACACAGGGGGGTGGGGGGGAAGGAATGCGACAAGCCTGCGGAGAAGAACGTGGCTGCAATTGCGTTGGAAGTGTGGACTGGATGTATGTGACGTCAATTACGTCCAGAGCTGTGCTAAAAAAAACCGTCCCAGTGTGAGTAGGTAACACGGCCTCAGGGCATCGCCACACCACTCTGGAGATGTGCAAAATGAGAACGAACCTCCCGCCAGCTCATAGCCAGATGCACCCTGCACTTCTTTTTTTCTGGCACTTCGAGAGTGACTGTGGTGTGGCGCGACGTCCTCGTCTGGCTAGCGGAAACGAAGTGCAGGGAGAGAAGGGAACTACTACAAAGGGATCGAGCAGGGGGAAAATTAAGGAGCTTGCGCAGGAGAATCCAAGCCGAAACGACGACGACGACGTAACATGGGTTTTTTGTCCTAAGTCAGCGACCATGGCGTCTGCTGCTGCCTAGATGGAATATAGCTGCTGAGAAGTCAAGGGTCTTCTGTGCCATGCAGGAAAATTAGACGGCGTGATCTCTCTTTATCTCTCTCTCTCTCTCTCTCTTTGTCTCTCTCTATCTCTCTATCTGTGTGTGTGTGTGTGTGTAATCTGTATAGCGCACGGCTCGTTGCGGTGGAGAGGGGAGAAAGCTACTGAGTTGTAGTCGGGGCTAATTAAATGCGGAGAGAAGCCAGAGTTGTAATTGCTGCGTAGGAAAAGAGAAGTGGAGTGAGAGGGTCGGCGCCAACTCGGCGGCGTGACGGTTTCTGTGCTTGCAGGAAATTCCAATCTCTCTCTCTCTCTCTCTCTCTCTCTCTCTCTCTCTCTCTCTCTCTCTCTCTCTCTGTGTGTGTGTGTGTGTGTGTGTGTGTGTGTTACGACGAAAAGTGGAGTTGAGGGGTGGAGAAGAGGGAAGAGCGAGTTGTAGTTGGGGCAGGACGAAGAGAGCTGTAGCGAAGGCGACGAAGAAAACGTGGAAAGAAAACGTGGAACAGGACGCAAAGTCGAGTAAGAGGTTGGGCGGCGTCGCTGAAGACGCAAGGCACGGAGTTAGTTGGAATAGAGCATGGCTATTGCGGAGATCGGAAGAGCTTCGAGAGATTTTAAGGCCTCTGAGGCAGAAGAGTGTGTGCGGACCTGCATGGTCTAGCAGAATCACACAAGTGGAAAAAAAGACCCAAATAAAAAAAACAAGGAGTACAAGAGTCTGCTGGAAAAAGAAGAGTAGTGCCGGTAGGTGGGATGCGAAACGAAGTGAAAGAGGGTCGGCGGCGTTGTAATGTTAGACGCGGACGCGCGATACAAGGTCAGTCGGAGTGAGGCCAGGGTGGGCATTGGGGAGGAAGCAAGAGAGTGAAACTGTTCTTTAAGATTGACGTTTTTTTTCTAGCTTAAGGACGAATCTGATTCACACGAGTTGGAGTCGCCCGGGCTTTCTGTTCTTTCCTTGTTTATTTTCTTTTCGCAGACATTCAGTGCAGCATAGGGCTGATCCTCTTTTCTCTTGTTGCGGTAGTTGTAGGCCTCTTTCTTCGCTTATGTTCTTTTTTGTTTCTTCTCTCTTGAACGTGTAGATTCGTCTCGTTGTAGACTAGTTTGTAATTGTGTGATACGACATAGTACTCTTATCTAGTGAGACTCTGTGAGAGTAGGGGAATTGGAATTACCGGATTTGCATTCCCGAGGTCCGCTGTGCTAGGAGATTCGAGAGAAAGATTCGAGAGAGATTCGAGAGAGATTTGAGAGAGAGATTCGAGAGAGAGAGAGCGAGAGAGAGAGAGAGAGTGTGGAAATGGAGGGATTTCGAGGGGGAGGGGGCATGCCTATGGGTGTGCAAAGCGCCGCTTTCGCCGCGGCGTCACTAGAGAAATTGTCGATTGAAACATTGAACCTGGACATGCATTCAACAACTGAGAGGATCCCGACTCCAACTGCGTCGATCGTACGGCCGAGGAGTCATTATCTGTTCGAGGGTGTGCGAATGACGCTGGCTTATCGAGTCTGGGTGGCCGCTGAGTGGCGCTTCGCTGACGCGGACATAAGGGAGATTACCGAAGCGATCGACGAAGGCTTCAACGTGGTGGATTGCGGCTATAATTGCTATAATCCGACGTCGGAGATTGCCGCGATCAACAGAGCGAACGTGAATCAGACGGTGGAGCTTTCGAGGGAAATGGGGATGTTCTTGTGTGGTCCCGTCAAGCATGCAGTCCATTGGAGCGATGGCCTGTACGATCCGACGGTGCTTCCGCTGCTTCAGCTATGGAAGTTCAGGGTGTCGCAGGGAGAGGAGCCGTCGGATCAAGAGATCGAGCGACTGAAGAGGCTTGTAGGCTTCGAGAAACTCAACTTCGGCGGGAATGTCGCTAATCCCCACGAAGGGGGAGTGACGATAACGAAGACGGTGAGGGGGATGCAGCTTGATCTGTGCGGCATTGCCAAGGGGCTCGCCGTGGATATCATCGTGAACAGGCTGAATGCCTTGGGCCATAGCAACGTGTACGTTGATTGGGGTGGGGATATCCGATCGACGGGATCTCACTCTTTCAGGCCATGGCTGGCGGCGCTTGCTCATCCGAAGAGTCTGGATCCCGATGTGGAGCAGTTCGCACGCCAACCGATTGAGCAGAGTTCCAATCCCAACAGACCGACGAAGGTCACGCTTCAAGCGAAGGGATCGAGTCCGTTATCTGTGCCATGTGCAGTCCAGGCTCGGCTCCAGAATCCCGAAGGAGAGCTGTCTCACCGTGCAATCCGTCCTTGTAATGCTGGTGCTGCTAATGGTCTTCCTGCTAGTCCCACGGAGAGGGATGTCCACTCGACCACGGCTGGAGGTGGAAAGATCCACGGGGAGAAGTACGCCGGTTATGTTCGAATCAACGACTTGTCGATGGCTACGAGTGGCGATTATGAGAACGTCTGGTTGACCTACAAGAAGGTGGCGCAAGAAGCACCGCCGGAGAAGCGCGTCTATTGTGGTATAGTGATGCCCACGACCGGTAAGTGCATTGAGCCTGGTCAGGGAACCGTTGCCAGTGTTTCTGTGATGACCCGGCATTGCTCTTATGCTGATGGCGTTGCGACTGCCGCCCTCGCCCAAGGGGATGCGCAAAAGAGCCGCGCCTGGCTTGACGACGTCATCTTGAAGAGTGACGGGGAAGTGGTTGGGTACTGCATCATCACCCGCGGAGCGGGTGATGTCATAACCTCTCCTGGTTTTCGGTCGTTCATGGTCTAAACTGTCCTTTCTTCCTTCGTGTTTTTTTTTTTTTTTTTTTTTTTTGGTAGCGCAGGCCGCATAATCTCTCCTGGTTTTCGGTCGTTGATTGTCTAAATTGTCGTTTTTTCCTTGATTTGTTTTTTTCCTTTTTTGGGAAGATGACGATGATGTAATTCGTCCGTTTGCTCGGGAACTGCCGTGGATGGCAGACCTGCTGCTAACGGTATAACCGTCTTTCTTCGGAATAGATGGCTTGGTAATTATCTCTGTGTATCTAGACTGAAAGTTGCACCGAATACAGGTGGCGTTATTACTGGGCGTCGTTCTATTCGGGTGAAGACGATAGTAGCCAAGAGGTACCCGTCTTCACCCGAACAGAACGCCTGGTAATTGTCTCTGTACTTGGGCTGGAAGTTGTTCCGAATGCAGATGTAATGACCGGGCATTCTATTCGGGTGAATACGATAGTAGCGAAGGGGATTTTGCAGATTTAAGAGGGCCTGAATCTGGATGTGGGTTGTGGAGAAGTGAGATAACTGTCATAGATCTTTTGTGTTTCTTTCCGTTGAACTCGTCCAGATTCAGGTGCTATCGAATTTTCTTTGCTCGTGGGGCTGCGCTTCCGGTGTTCGGGAAGGCCAGTCCCGTTACTGCCGGTAGGTAAGAGGAGGGCTGAATTCCTTGCTTGGATCTCGTACGTGATTGTACAGAGATGCAGATGATTTTGAACCTCTGCGTGAAACCTGTCTAGATTCGGGTGCTTAATAATCCGATCCTCTTTGCTATCAGGACAGCGCCCTTGGTGTTTGACGACAAAGTGAATCTGTCGTCTGCCCTCGCATCGTTCTTTTTTTTTTTTTTTTTTGCCCTGAGGCTGTCCGATATTGTGATCCGTCAGATCTCGAAGCTCAGAGATGATGTCGGAAGTGTTTTTTTTTTTGTGTTTGGGAAACAAGGGTTTTTGGGTCGGTGGTGGTTTGCTGGAAGACCGTAGCGTCGAGGTGTAGCGATTGAAACGGGAATGCAGCTTTAATGAGAATAATTAGTCCCAAAAAAAAGGGTGAGTTCGACGATGCACAAAAAGCGTTAGATCCGAAAAAAAAAAAAAAAAAAAAAAAAAATAGACGTTAGATGAACAGAATCGTATGAAGTGCAGCTCCTGTTGGGTGCTCTACTGCTACAGCTCCTGTTGGGTGCTCTACTGCTACGCCGCTGTCTGAAGAGCTGAAGAGCATTTATAGGATCCGAATGATGTGGTCGTCTGTTCAATTTTTACCTATTTGCTGGGACATCGTCGTTGAAGGTTCCTGATCTGGTAAATCTGAGCGTTGTATAGTTGGTAGTTTCTGTTTTAGGAAATCTTTGGTATCTCTTGTTGAAGTTTCCTGATCTATCTAGTGAATCTGAGCGTTGTATAGTTGGTACTCTGTTTGAGGAAATCTTTGGTATCTCTGGTTTAAGTTTCCTGATCTAGTATTACCTGAGCGTTGTATAGTTGGTAGTTTCTGCTTTAGGAAATCTTTGGTTGACGTAGAGCATTGACATGATCCGAATGATGATTTGGTCGCCAGTCCGATTCTTACCGATGCTGGGACTTTCTAGATTGTTGTATAGTTGAAGTTTTCTGTTCTAAGAAAATCTCTGGTGAAAGTCATCCTCTAGTAAATCTGAGCGTTGTATAGTTGATATTCTGTTTTAGGAAATTTCTGGTTGACACAGAAAATCCGTTGGAGAATGGCAACGTGTCCTGGTGTTTTGTAGCAGCGGGTGCGGCTGCTCGTCGCTGCTGGGGCCGAGTCCCACGTGGACCAAGTCCCCCACTTGGGCCGACTCCCACCTACCGGAATTGTCTTTTTTTTTGGGGAAAGACGTATCGGGATTTTTGGAATTTTCGATTTTCGATCCGGTTGTGAAGATCAACGGCCAGAGCGGAAGGGATGTTAAGTGAGACCTGCCTGACCTCTGAGATGTGGTACTGAAGTCGTTAATGACGTGTTCGAAAAGGTGGAGGGCTGTTTTTTTTTGTTTTTTTTTTTTGGTAACGAGTGTGAGGAAGGGATGTTTCATCTTGAAAGGAGGATGCGTTTCTCGTTGAGGGATGGCAGCTTTATGACTGTACAGTGGTTTTAATTTGGGTCACCTTTGATCGATTGCAAATATCTTTTTTTTTTTTTTAATCATTTTTGAAAGACTTACACTGGTCTGGATTGCGACGGTCATCGTTTTTTTTTTCGTCTGTTTTGTTTTGTACGGTCACCTTTGATAGATTGTTTTTCTTTCCGTGGTTCGCACTGATTTACTTTCAGGGTGGCGTCTGTGATTGGTATTGAATCATGGTCCTTTGAGATTGGTATTGAATCATCCTTGGCAGAGGGCGCAGCGGTATTTGGATTTTCTTTTTCCCGGTTGTCCTTTCAGTAGCTTTTTTTTTTTTTTTTGGTGGGGGGGGGGGGGGGGGGGGGGGGGGGGGGGGGGGGTTAATAGGAACTCTTGTATACATATCGGCGGTCGAGATGGACGGGCGTAAGTGGACATCCGAATTGAACGGAAAGGAAATGTGACCAGAGTACCCTGCAATGGGTTTTATCTCTCGGGTATATTTTGTTTTTGAGCTATATTTTGTTTTTGAGGAAGTACAAATTCGTTTTTGAGGACCAATATGAGGGCAATCGAGTCTAGCTTTTTTTTCCTTCCTTTTTTTTTTTTTTTTTATGTTGTTGGAGAAAGAAGAGGGCAGTGGGTCGTGGTTGTCTTGTCCGACACCCGAGTCCCGACACCGCTTCCGGAGTCGACAGAGGTTCATGAAAGAGGTAATGACTTGTGTAACAAAGATTGAATGAAAATGAAATGAAACAGAGATTGAATGGAAATGAAATGAAAGAGATCGAGTGGAAATGAAATGAAAAAAAGATTGAGTGGAAATGAAATGAAATTTAAAGGATAGACGTTCATGAAAGATGTGAGGGGGGCATTCGACTGGAAACGGATTTTAACGAGTGCACCATGGTTAGTTCTCTTCTTTTTTCAGAGGAATCATGGTAGTATGGGAACAAATGGAGAGGCAGTGAAGTGCAGTTTTCTTGTTTCTTCTTATTAACTGGAGTGCAGTTTTCTCTTTATTTTTTTCCTTTTGTCACGAGCTGCGTAGCAATCCCTACTGTACTACGGTATAGACGTACGGCTGTATGAATCTGTACTCGTACATGTACGGCTGTATGAATCTGTACTCGTACATGTACGGCTGTATGAATCTGTACTCGTACATGTACGNGTACATGTACGGCTGTATGAATCTGTACTCGTACATGTACGGCTGTATGAATCTGTACTCGTACATGTACGGCTGTATGAATCTGTACTCGTACAGTAATCGTGCGGGAGGGGCCTTGTATTCAGTCATTTGTGTGCAAATAAATGATGGATTTTCTATGCGTAGAACAATTAAAGGTTTAGCTAATAAGAAAACAAATTCTTCTGAGAAACAATAACAAGTCGGTAAAGTGAAAACAAAACAAATAAAAATCCACAAAAAACGAAATCGAGCTTCCTCGGTAATCATTTTTAAATTTCAATAGTGAATTCATTATCCGTAAATTAACATACATGACCGGATGGAGAGGGATTTGAACCCATGATATTTTGTACTATGTCAGTTTTCAAGACTGATACCTTCAACCACTCCGACATCCATTCAAAGCAAAGACGCCCCAGGGCAGGCGGGGTGTTTTTATTGTCCTTGCACTTTGTATATCTGAAATCAGCCGAAGAAACAAACGAGCCTGATTTTATATACACACGGTGTGTGGCTAGGCACCAGTTCTTCTTATTAACCGTTTCCGATCTGTAATCATCCAGGGATATTGGATATAGCCCTGGATGATTAATAAAGAAAAGGAAAGAACAACAATGAACAAGAAATGTGTGCGTGTGTGTGCGTTTTGCTAGTGTCGTTTGTGTCAGTGTGTGTTTGATGGTGTGTGTTCCTGTCGATCACACGAGTACACACGACAGCACATGTCGTACTGATTTCTTTTGTTTCGATTTTCTCATTCTGTTTCGGTTTTTTCCCACTTATTTTAATAAGAATTTCTGGCTGGTGCTTGAGCAAATATTGCTCGTCTGCCTATTGTTACATAACATGTTCTTTTTCTCCTCGTACGTTTTATTGCACGTGGCCACGTACAGGGTTATGTACGTAAAGAATGCGTATGTTATTTGTACGGAAAGGCCCACGTAAAATATGGGTACCCCTAAGGACCCGTGTATGCACAGCGATCTTGTTTCTTCTTTTTCTTCGTTGTCCTCGTCCCCACAGCTGTATTCTACTTTATTGTGTTTGTGGGATTTTATTTTATTTCTTTCTCCTCGTACGTTTTATTGTACGTGGCCACGTACGGGGTTACAAACGTAAAATATGCCGACACAGAAAGGCACACGTCAATATGCATACGTTGTGTACCATATGCCCACGTTATGTACAGAAAGACACGTAAAATATGCATACTTTGTGTACCGAAAGGCAGCGTACGTGCACGTGGCCACGTACAGTGTTACAGACCTAAATTATGAGTAACTTATGTACAGAAAGGCACACGTAAAATATGCATGCGGAAGGCCTCATGCATGTATGCGGCCACGTACAGGGTTACATACGTGAAATATTCGTACGTTATGTACAGAAAGGCACACGTACAATATGCGTACGTTACAATATGCGTACATGCATGCAGAACAATCTTGTTTCTTTTTTTTTCTTTTTGGTGTTTTGACTTTGTGTTGTGGGAGTAATAGGAGGACAATAGACTGCAGTTTTCTTATTTAGAGACCTTCAACTCGAAGTCGACAAGCTACAGTCGGTAGAAATGCAATGAGCAGGCGGTTTTTTTTTTTTTTTTTTAATGAAAAAATTTGGACCATTTCTCGATTTATGCGTGACATCCTTGCGCAGGGGCCATCCTAATCTTCCTTCTCTGTATCGTTCCAATTTTAACGGATGTCCCGAAGGACAGCAGGTGTTTTTTCGCTCCAACACGACCACCTTTAGGCGTCTTCACCCGAATACAACGTACGGTTATTATAACTGTATGTATTGGGGGCACCTTTCAGTCTAAATACAGTCGATAATGACCGTACCGTACGTTTTATTCGGGTGAGAATGAATATAGCCACGATTGGGTATCTTTCAGTCTACATACAGGCGTCTTCACCCCGAGTACAACGTACGGTTGTTGTAACTGTATGTATTGGGGCACCTTTAGTCTATATACAGTCGATAATGACCGTACCGTACGTTTTATTCGGGTGAGAATCAATATAGCCACGATTGGGTATCTTTCAGTCTACATACAGGCGTCTTCACCCGAATACAACGTACGGTTATTATAACTGTATGTATTGGGGCACCTTTCAGTCTGTATTGGGGCACCTTTCAGTCTAAATACAGTCGATAGTGATCGTACCGTACGTTTTATTCGGGTGAGAATGAATATAGCCACGATTCGGTATCTTTCAGTCTATACGCAGCCAGTAATGACCGTACGCTTTATTCATGTGAGAATGAATAGCGACGAGGGCGACGATGGCAAAAACACACGGGAGCATGGTCCCGCTAGCGAAGGGGATTGGATTAAGATCCTGAATCTGGGCGTGTTTTAGGCAGAGATGCAGAAAAGGAGCTCAATCTCGATTTTCTGCACTTGTCCACAAAGGCGGCCAGATTAAGGCGTTCAATCCAATCCTCTTTGCAAATGGGACTATTCTCCGGTTGATGGGGGGCACATTTTTTTGTCCTGTTCTTTTTTGGAAAAAAAAAAAAAAGGATGGCAATGCAGTAGTGTGTTTAACACCAAAGCGAGAACAGAGGCAGAACATAGATTAGAGATGAAAAGAGATGTGTAAAGAACGACCACGGTGATGGCGATGGAGGAGAGGAAAGGGAAAGGGAACAAGAAAAGGAGAATGCACACAAAAGGTAGCCATGGAGTACGGGCAATTGAATCAGGCACTATATAAAATCAGTGTAAAACAGGTAGTGCCATGCTGGCGAAATCCCTACGATCGTTCGCAGAAACGGAATAGTCGGGGGATGAAAGGAGCGCGTGTCAAACAAGATCTGAGTCCTCAATATATAGTCTCCCATCACACAAAATTCTGCTATCATCTGAAGTCGTCACACAGAAGGGGATCACGCAGGTCTAATGACAAGGAGGAGTAGAAGGCACGGAGCAGAGTAGGACGGGGGAAAAAAACAGAGGCATGGGCCGAAGGTCATCTGGAGAGAGGAAGAGGTAGTCATAAAGAGAGAGACAGACAATAGGTTGGAATCGAAGGTGACCTTGAAATGGCAACGTACAGGCCCAATCATAGAAAACCTATCAAACGACGCGGTCGAGGAGTAGAAGAGAATCACCAGAGCAGTTCTAAAGAGTCCTATCAGGCGGTTAGTATAGTCGCCTTGAAACAAGTTGAAGGTAGAGTCCGTGCTCAACCGTTTCCACAAGGAAACAGATCGGTCAAAGGAACAGGTACTTAAAAACTTGAGCAGGCCGGGTGGGGAATAGAAGTGGTTTATCAGAGAAGTCCCATCGAGCAGATGATCAGATTAACCGCCAAAATTCAAATTTCGCAAACGAATTGAATTGAAAGCGTTAGGACACATTTCGGGCCCGGGGCCATTCTGGTCCGTCGAAGCCGCTGGTGAAACTTGGTAGATACGTCGTGGGAGTTACTTCAGCAGCCGTAATCGCATCACTGTCTAGGAACAGGTTGCCAGTGGTAGCAACAATGCTGTTGCTGCTACCCAGAAATCGCTTCACAAGGACACTGGTCAGGCCTGGGGTCGAGGCCGTCGGCGGAATAACAAAGAACATTCAAGAAAAATTCTTCAATAGTTGCAGAACCAATGAAGTCTTGAGGCAGGAGGCCAGTGGTATCGCTGGTACCCGTAGTTCCCTCAGAGGTAAGATGGCCACAATCAACATACACAACATCGAAGTCGGG